ATCAGCCAAGCATGATTCTAATGGAGGTTTTCTGTTCTATTACTTGTTATGTATTCTATAATAAACACAGTCATTTTACAGCCATCCTGTCTCCACCACTGGCTCCTGACCCAAGAGGAAATATTACAAAAAGGGAATTGGGGGGGTTGTGTGGAACCGGAGAAGGAAATTAGAAATCCCAGATGAAATCCTTGTTGCATGACATCGTTAGCAAGACCAACTTTTCTGGCTCTTCCTTTGGAAGCTTGTTCTATGTTTTGCTTTTTTTAAAAAATTAAAAATACCCCTTTCCCTCTCAAGGTGGTTTACAATATTTACACAAAAGAAAACACACAACTTTTGGTTTCACAAAAAGCTAAAGAAGTTGAAGTAACGTTTACTCGGTGCCTACAAGGTATGTGCCTTGCATGTGCCTTGTGGATATGTAGGGGGAGCTTGTTTCAAGTTGGGGTGTCATAACCAAAGAAACTGCATCTACTAGCTGAAAGCCAAATCATCTCTGAAGATGGGAGTACCTGGAATGGAGTCTCAGTTGAAGATGGGCTGCTTCAGACATCCTTTTTCTTGTCGATTTATGATGATGTGTCCTTATGATGGTATCAGGGTACCATTTTCAATCTTGTTTGCACCTGCAAATGTTTGGATGTGAAGAGAACTGTTTTGTTTCAGATCAGTGCACACCCCACAGCCCCCTGCTGAAGACCTGCAACTTTTCACTCCAGAAATGTTCTGGGTTCATTTTTGTTCTGCTATAGCATGAGAGTACCTCTCCAGACGACAATAACTTGATAACACTGGGGAAGTATCATGTTGTTGTTGTTTAGTCATTTAGTCGTGTCTGACTCTTTGTGACCCCATTGACCAGAGCACGCCAGGCACTCCTATCTTCCACTGCCTCCCGCAGTTTGGTCAAACTCATGCTGGTAGCTTTGAGAACACTGTCCAACCATCTTGTCCTCTGCCGTCCCCTTCTCCTTGTGCCCTCCATCTTTCCCAACATCAGGGTCTTTTCCAGGGAGTCTCTCCTCTCATGAGGTGGCCAAAGTATTGGAGCCTCAGCTTCAGGACCTGTCCTTCCAGTGAGCACTCAGGGCTGATTTCCTTCAGAATGGATAGGTTTGATCTTCTTGCAGTCCATGAGACTCTCAAGAGTCTCCTCCAGCACCATAACTCAAAAGCATCAATTCTTCGGCGATCAGCCTTCTTTATGGTCCAGCTCACTTCCATACATCACTAGGAAGTATCATAGAAAAAGAAAGCTGAGTGGTGTTCAGATGATCCAGTATAAATCCACAATTAATGCATTGTGATTGTGTTAGTGAGTTGTTGCAGAATATGCCTGAATACTCCACCTGTCTGGAGGGGCCTGCTTTCTGCATGCTGGCAGTTTTGTACAGAAGGCAGCTCTGCAGAGGTAATATAGCTGATTATCTGTTATGCCAGGGATGGACGGGAGGCAAATGTTCCCCGATCTGAGAGGTTTTCAACCTTTTAGAACCCATGGCTCCCTTGACCAACTACATTCTTCCTGTGGCACCCCCATGGGGCTCAGGAGTCCAGTTATGTCACCCCTTGCCTGCAGAGCTGGCAGCCTCTCACCTTTTTTCAAACACCCTTCCTTGTGGAGTGTTTCCTCAGCCTCCTCTCCCCTCTCCTTAGGAATCTTCCTGGCAGCTACTGCTGCTACCCTTGGTCTCTGAGCTGCCCCACCCTGTCCCAAAGACAGGACCAGAGGCACCATTTGCCTGCGGAGCTTATAGCCAGCTGTGCAAGCCTTTGGGAGGCAGAGACGTGAGAGGGCATCGGAGGAGGGAGGGAAGAGGAAAGAGGGACAGAAGCCAGTGTTGCCCGCGGCACCCCTGACCACCATTCAAGGCACCCCAAGGTGCCACGGCACACTGGTTGAAAACCACTGCCCTATCCAGTATGTTTAAATTGTGATGAATATGTAAATTGTAGAGATGCCACTGAATTTTGCAATTACCTTGCTCACAATATGCATTAGTTAAGCTCCTTTCCCCATGAAGCAAACCATATTACCTGCCTCCCTCTCTAATGCCTTAGAGACACTAGGCTATGGCACCAGGGGCCCTGGGAAATGTATCTTTCACAGGGCAACTGAGTCCTTAGCATGGATAGCAGGAACCCTGGTAACTACATGTCCTAAGGCTCATCGTGCCTGTGGTGCTGATGGGTATGCATCCTGTCGCTCTCTCGATGACATCACTTTGCTGAGCCCAGTGTGAAATAAGTCAAAGGAATTTGCTACCACTAGTTATAATAATACATCCCACAACCCAGTGCTATATCTCTCTTTTGTAATGCAGGTGTATATTTATGTGTACATTCTATGCCTAAGTCCATGTGCTCCAGAACTGAAGTCTTTACTGGTAGAGAGTGCCCACTTCATTATGAAACGGATCCCACTAGAGTGAGTGAAGAGGATCTCCCGAACCTTAATGGTGCAGCTGCCTCCACACTCCCCTCCAATGGATCAAAATGTCAGGAAGAGAGGAGCAGGCAGTGGAGGTGCACTGGTAAGTATGGGGGGGCACTCTGGCACCCATGGGTGCTAAGTTGGGGGTCTCAGGTTCGGAGAATAGAGTGGCCTACAGAGTCCCTGGGTTCATACAATTGTTGCGTTATAACTAGGGATGGGGAACGAATTTGATTCAGTATGCATTTAACACTAAACTTGTTAAACACACAATATATGAAATGAAACGCAAAATTCACAGTTATCTGAATTTTGCAATTCAGTTCTCCAACCAATGCCTCCCCTTAATCTACTCCCCTCTGGGATAAACATGGCCAGCTCTTTCAAGCATCCTTTGTAGGCCTTGGTGTCAAGAAGAAGAAAAGTGGGTTGGGGGCAGGGGGGCAGGTAGCAATAGTAAATAACTGTGCTTGATGTCCCTTGGCGTCTTGTCGTTGTTGGTTACAATCGGTCTCTCTCCCCATTTCTACTGAGCTAGACTAAAGAAAGTGTTGAACCAGAACACTAAGAGCTTGCAGGAATTGGAATAATTACAGCTAGATTGCTCATAGTAAACAAACAAATAAAAAGGGGGGTGCTGAAGCAACATCCAAGCATTCCTTAGTAGTTAAACAAGATTTGGAAAGTTATGTGAATGAATGACTTGCAACTCAAGAGTGCTGAAGAGCGCTCAGCTCAGACAAATCTGATTTGTTTGTGGGCTCGTTATACAACAATGAGAATTCATGCTGCATTGCTTAGGGTATTTTTTAAAAACACATCTTCCTGTTAATCATTCCATTATTCCACATTTATCAGTACAGTGGTACCTCGGGTTAAGTACTTAATTCGTTCCGGAGGTCCGTACTTAACCTGAAACTGTTCTTAACCTGAAGGACCACTTTAGCTAATGGGGCCTCCTGCTGCCGCTGCGCTGCCGGAGCACGATTTCTGTTCTCATCCTGAAGCAAAGTTCTTAACCTGAGGTACTATTTCTGGGTTAGCAGAGTCTGTAACCTGAAGTGTATGTAACCTGAAGCGTATGTAACCTGAGGTACCACTGTATATGTCCCCATCACTTTCCAAATGACTAAAAGTCTTAAAGAAAAATTATAAACCACAATTTTTTTAAAAAAATATGACTTTTTAATTACAGTTTACAACTTTTACAGTTACATAGAAGTTGCTGTTCTTGCTATAATTATTTTAAAGTTCTGTCCCTCCTGGAAATTTTCAATTTAATGTGTGTGTGTGCGTGTGCGCATAACATTGCTATGTTAGCGACTGCATTTAAGAACGTTAAAATCAGATTTGGGTTGTTTGTTGGATTTCTGTGTTATGTTTTGAAAAGAGTTAGTATTTGATTTTCATTTTAATGGACGTATTTTCATTTTAATGGACTTGAATTTCATTTTGCTGTGAGCTCCTTCGAGCACATTTATATGGAAAAGCAGCGCACAGATTTAAATAACAAAACAAAACAAAATAAAAATAAATGAACAAAACAAACAAACAAACAAACAAACAAACAAACCCACCTCTACTTTGGAGGGGCACAGAATCTTCTCCTGAAAATGCAGAATGTGCCCCCTGGAAGGTCTTTTATAGCAACAGGATTTGCTATGCGCAGGAGGAAGAGTTTTAATAAGCAAATAGTCCAAACAATCACATTCAAGCCTATAAAACGCACCCATTACAGGCCTCCTTTAAAAATGGAATTGTGCATGTTGCATGTGAAAGAAATGTACATTTGCAGAGTAAAGAATACATTTACTGCATCTGGACTGACTGCATGATACTTTTTTTTTTGAAGGCTTCCAAAAAAGAAAAGAAAAGAAAGTGCTTGAGTTGTTTACCAGATCTCTGTAGATATAGAGTACTATCTCTTTGAGGAATCAGTTCACTCTCTTTTGGAAGAGTCGTTGGGGAAGGGGAAAGGCTAGGTTTCCACTCAGCAACCAGACTCAAACCCCAGAGAGTTTGTTTACTAACAAATCAGGACTGAAAATTCTGCCTCCTGGGAGCACAGTGGGGTTGCCGAAATCACCATGATGGGTTTGTAATTTTTTAATTTGGTCTGGCTCCCAGGTTTTGTCTTCATTGTCCTCTCTTATCTAGGAGGGGAAGGGAAAAAGAGAAAAGAACAAAGCTTCCTAGTCTCAGGGGAGCCACAGCAGGGAGAGCATAGAATAAGGATGGGAGGAAGGAGACGGACCAATTCCCAAGGCACCTCTTTCGCAGGGAGCCTGTTCCTGACCGGCAAAAACAAATGGGATCACAGCATACAGCAAACTCTTCCCTCCCCCGGCATCAGTCTCAATTTTTCCGATTTGATTTGCTCTCAGACATGTTTGCTCTACTTTCAGCAATCCCACATTATAATGGATAACGTGGTGAGCTTTGTAGTCCTCAGCACACATTCACAACATTCATTTAAAGCATCAGGATACCATTTTAAACAGCCATGTCTCCCCCTAGACAATACTGGGAGCTGTAATTTGTTGAAGGTGCTGAGAGTTGTTAGTGGCCCCCTATTCCCCTCTCAGAGCTACAGTTCCCAAAGTTCCCTGTGAATTGATTGATTGTTCAACCACCTTGAGAATTGTAGCTCTGTGAAGGGAATAGGGGCCTTCGAACAATCAACACACACACACACACACACACACACACACTTATTATTTTATTTACAGATTTATATCTATACCACGAGGGACACAGGTGGCGCTGTGGGTTAAACCACAGAGCCTAGGACTTGCCGATCAGAAGGTCGGCGGTTCGAATCCCCGCGATGATATGAGCTCCTGTTGCTGGGTCCCTGCTCCTGCCAACCTAGCAGTTCTAAAGCACATCAAAGTGCAAGTAGATAAATAGGTACCGCTCCAGAGGGAAGGGAAACGGCGTTTCTATGCGCTAATCTGGTTTGCCAGAAGCACCTTAGTCATGCTGGCCACATGACCCGGAAGCTGTACACCGGCTCCCTCGGCCAATAAAGCGAGATGAGTGCCGCAACCCCAGAGTCAGCCATGACTGGACCTAATGGTCAGGGGTCCCTTTACCTTTAACAATCAGGATACAAACACACACACACACACACACACACACACACACTATTAGAACAATATTCTTGGCCCCTTCAACACTTATTATTTTATTTATAGATTTATATCTATACCACAGTACCATACGATATTTCAAGGAAGTGTACATTATACTATAAAAGAGCATTTTTTTAAAAAAAAAAAACGATAATAAAAACATAAGGAAAGCCTGCTGGATGAAGCCAAAAGGTCATAGATTCATAGAGCTGGAAGGGACCCTGAACACTATCTAGTCCAACCCCTGCAATACAGGAATCCTGCCTACAGCTGTTCCTGAGTGGGCTTGAACCACCAACCTTCTGGTTAACAGCTGGACGCACTGACCCATTGCGCTCACCTCTTACATACTCAACCAACCACTGTACTCTGCAGGAGAGGACTGTTAGGAGCTCATCCTACACTCGAGTAGGACCCTGGCAGGGACACATGCGAGACTGGCATGTTCTCTCCCTCCTGATCAATCGTTCAGGAGCTTCAAAAGCTTTCTTCTGCCCGAACATCACAGCGACTGATGGCAACAGACATCGGCAAGTACCATCTCATCTGGAGATCTATTCCTTCTGATGTAGGAAGGGAGCCTTTTATGTGGTGGCCCCAAACCTTGGGAACTCCCTCCTGATGCATGCCAGACAAGCACCAGCTCTCTTGCCTTTTTGGTGCCTGTTGAAAAGCTTCATTTTCCAGCAAGCCTGTCTGCATCTGTATTGGATTTGACATAGTTTTTTTTTTTTTTTTTTAAATGGACGCTTTTATTATTGATGTTTTTAACTGATGTTAACTGATGTTTTTATGATGTCATTACTGTTGATCACTTCGGGGTGTTGCATGGGAAACGATCCATAAAGGAAACAAGCAAACAAATAAATAGCCTTATGCTGCATTACGTGTCCAGAGGAATAAAACACCATAAAAATTGAAAGGAATAAGAGGTTTAACTAAGAACTGTAGCGCAGACTGTCTCAGCAGTGTGGTGCATTCTCTAGTTATCTCCTGCTTGGATTACTGCAATGCGCTCTACGTGGGGCTACCTTTGAAGGTGACCCGGAAACTGCAATTAATCCAGAATGCAGCAGCTAGACGGGTGACTGGGAGTGGCCGCCGAGACCACATAACACCCGTCCTGAGAGACCTGCATTGGCTCCCAGTATGTTTCTGAGCACAATTCAAAGTGTTGGTGCTGACCTTTAAAGCCGTAAACGGCCTCGGTCCAGTATAGCTGAAGGAGCGTCTCCACCCCCATCATTCTGCCCAGACGCTGAGGTCCAGCTCCGAGGGCCTTCTGGTGCTTCCCTCACTGTGAGAAGTGAGGTTACAGGGAACCAGGCAGAGGGCCTTCTCAGTAGTGGTGCCAGCACTGTGGAACGCCCTCCCATCAGATGTCAAGGAAATAAACAACTACATGACTTTTAGAAAACATCTGAAGGCAGCCGTGTTTAGGGAAGTTTTTAATGTTTGATTCTATTTTTAATATTCTGTTGAAAGCTGCCCAGAGTGGCTGGGGAAACCCAGCCAGATGGGTAGGGTATAAATGAATGAATGAATGAATGAATGAACGAACGAACGAATAATAAAAAATGCAGCTATATAATCTTTTGCTTCCTTCAACTTATGGCTATTGCGCAAAACCTAGCTACATTTCTAGTGGCATACGCATTCCAGTTGGAGAAGAGGTAATTTAAATAGCATAGTATTCCTCTGTCTTCCCTGGCACTTTTCGTACAAGCAAGGTTCTGAGAGAGGCTCTGAAATCCGGATAAAATCTACAACGAAATAGAACATGGCCCACTGTTTCTATTTGACCTCTCTTACATAGACAGCTCCCCTTGCACTGAGGAATCTTCCTGTATCTACCTTCCAATGGAGCAGATGGCAGGACATTAAATATGGTTTGCGTAAGTGCCTTTCTAAATTTGGGGGTAGATTTGATCCCGGAATGTCCTGGGGATAAGCTGGCGCTGGTGCTTGCAGTGGTGCCATGCTCTTGCGCAATTCAGCTAACGAGTCAGACGTGTGTCTTTCGTTGCCAGCTGACTCATGTGGCGCTGAAGGGGAAAGTTGGAGGGCACGAACGCATTTGCCTTGCATGTGAAAGGCCTCGGGTTTGAGATCCAGCATCTCTAAGTGAACCCGAGAGAGATTTCTTCCTGAAACCCTGGACAGCCACTGCCAGTCCATGTAGATAGCACTGATTAAGATGGACCAGTGACCTGACTCAGTAGAAGGCAGCTTCCTATGTTCTCACATGTCCCCGTTACTTGATGGATTTGGGGCTAATGCATTATAAACTGCTAGGCTGTGTCTATTTATGCACTTGTTAAACCATAATGATGCAATGCTTTCAGTGGCCCGCACAGGCAAAGGCCCCAAACTGTTTCCATATTTATTTTATTTTAAAAGTAGCTGTTTATGCAGACAGACCCCGTCCACAAGTTTGTTCTGAAAATGTTTTTCCCCTCCCTTGGGCAATTAACTGTTTTTGGAACGTCCTCAACAAGAGCAAAGAGGGAGGGAGAGAAAGAGAAAAAGAGAGAAGGAGGAAGAAAGCAAGCAAAGGCAAAGCAAATTTGACTGTGATTGATAAAATTTTAAAAATTCCATTTAACAGAAGCACACTGAGAGCTAAACAGGAAAGAGCTGTACCATTTTGGTTGGCACTCGCTAGACCTCCGTGGACTGAAGAACTACCTCCAGTTTGGATGTAGAAAGATCTGATGAAATGTGAAGCTAAACTGAGAGAGTTTGGAATGCAAGCTGTAAGACGTGAGGCTAAAAGGAACCATATTGGTTGCAAAGTAGGCAGGTCCTTTATAAATGTGCAAGGGACTGCGTGTGCACATGTGTGCATGCATGCGCACCCTCCGCAATGGGATCTCTCCCATATATTTTGGATGGATGATCTTGACAGCACACCCTGGAAGAAGACTGGGAGATAGAGTGATGGTGGGATGGTCATTTTTAATTAAATATAACAAATGGAAGATCTGCAAGCCAAAAGCAACTTATTGTAAGTGCAGAAATTCTTCCTCCTTGCTAAGTTAGCCTTGGGTATGTGACACGGGTGGTGCTGTGGTCTAAACCACTGAGCCTCTTGGGCTTGCCGATCAGAAGGTCGGCGGTTTGAATCCCTGCGACGGGGTGAGCTCCCATTGCTTGGTCCCAGCTCCTGCCCACCTAGCAGTTCGAAAGCATGCCAAAAAAGTGCAAGTGGATAAATAGATACAGATATATTTTTTTAAAAAATGTAGTTAGGGATGGACAGATCTGTCCATTTCAGTTTCACTTATCTTCTCATTCTTCCAAGCTTAAATTCAGCTCACTGCATTTCTTCATCGATTTACATTTTTTAAAAACAATTTCCAGCATTTTAGGGCACATTTTTTCCTAAAGTACACATTTTTGTATACCATTTTGCTGAACGCTCCTATTTCCCTCAAACAGTTCCTCAGATATAATGCACTTTTATATGTGATCTTCATTAATGCATCCACAACATAAGCATTTTTCTACACATTATTTCTCTGTAGATCGGCATTGCTGAATTTGGAGATGTGGAAATTTGAAGTTCCTTTTTGATGACGTATTCTTTTGGGAAGAGTAAATGAGAAAAGTTGCATTAAAATGCAACGCCAGCTGAATTTCCCCCTCAGCCCTTCATGTGATTCTCCAGATTGCTTCTAGCTCTTCAGCTGAAGCTGAAGAAATGTCAACTCAGGTGGTCCAATGATTTCACAATGTACGTCTGCTAATGCAATCTGGAATGGACTTCTATAAATTGATTGAAAACATTGCAATCAATTTTGTGTGCTCTTTCTTTCTTTCTTTCTTTCTTTCTTTCTTTCTTTCTTTCTTTTGTACTTCTCTTGCCTGAAAGCCCATGTTGCAATAACTAGATAAATGGCTTTTGGAGCCCAATTCAACAGTAACCACCAAAATGAAGGACCTTGCAAGACCTTTCGTGCCTTCCATTGGGCACAATCCATTAGAACATATTCTAGCTACCCACTATAGCTCCATAGCTCAGACCCTCCAAGTGTCCCTATTTTCCAGGGACAGTCTCAGATTTACAGAAGCCATCCCAGTTTCTGATTTGATCCTGGAATGTCCCACTATCCCTTAGGACGTCCCTATTTTCACCAGAGAAATGTTGGTGGGTATGGAATAGGACGTCCCCATTTTGATCGGAGAAATGTTGGAGGGTATGATAGCTCATGGTAGAGCACATGTTTTGAATGCCAAAGACTCCAGGTCCAGTTCCTAGCATTTCCAGGGGAAAGGGATTAGTTAGCAGGTGCAGGGAAAGATCTTTGCCCAAGACGTTGGAAAGCCACTGCCAGACAAAGGAGCCAATAGTCTGACTTGGTTTAAGGCAGTTTCCTATGCTTTTGTTAACCAGGGACAGCCCCTGCTGTTTGTTAATTTTTTTCTGGTAAATGACTGGGCTGTAGAAATCTGTCAGTTCTCTCAGTTTCTCATTTCCCCCTCATTTCAGTTCTCCATAATAGCTTGC